TGTCCCATGGCATCTACTAAGCCACCCCACGGATTTACTGGCTGAGTAGATGGGACATTGGATGGTCCAATTCCTTGGTCCCGTCCACTATTACGAACAAATGGTATTTGCTCTGAAGTACTGGTCTGTTCGACCATGGGTTCCGATAAGATAGGAGTCTCCACAGGATGTGTTATCACATTATCCTCTGGATTAGGTATCTCCACCTCTCCTTCCACGCCTTCTTCCAAACGTTCATTTTCTCCTTGTCTCCTATGTCTAGCCATTTTAAATTGTCCCACCGGGCGTGCCAAAAATATATGTTGGCTTTTTGGCTTTCGAAGGTTATTTTTATAATTATGAGCGTGTCAGCAAGGATCAATCAGTCCTTACAGAATTGTAATTGCCAACCAATTATTCAGACGATTGTGTTATGGTTTTTTCAGCCTCAATAAAGAGGACTTTTACTGGTGGCTTACTGGTAGCTTGATTTAGGAGAATTTAAGCATAAGAACAGTTAAATAAATTGAAGCATTTCATTAGTATGAAAAACTTACAATGATCTCAGCCTCGTAAAGATTTACAGCGGCAATATACTCGAAGACTACTTCTACAAATGAAGTGCAGTGCAGGAATTTAAAGTACAGAAATGTAAAGAATAGGAAATAAAACTGGAATATATAAAGTAAGACTGGTTTTCTTTTGATTTTTTTCGCCTCCTTCTCTGAAGTCCTTCCTGCTATTTATACTCTTCAAAGATAACCATCGAACTGCACTTCAAACCGTCGAACTGCTCCTCCGTGATCGCTGATCATGCTACCTTATAAGTAGTTCCACTACGCCATCACTTGCAGTTAGGCTTCCCTCCTATATTTGAATTTGAATGTGAGTAACCGTTGAAGCCACGTCACCTTGCATCTCTTTGTTGATCCGATGCTACTCAGATCTTATAACAACCAATATTAACTGCCACGTGTATGATCAAGATCGAAGACTTGACTTGTCTCCCCATATTACCCTTACTTTGCCACGCGTCGAATTGTCACTGGCTTGCACAAAATATGTAGCCAACAGTATAGTAGATATATGTTATATGGTTTTTTCCCATAACCTTTTTCCCATACTCTCTCTCTGACTCTCTCCCATAAAACAACAATCAAGCCATTTTGCACTATGACTTGTGTGGGTGATACTCAGTTTGTAGTATCACTCCACTGCTAGGTTCGTTGTTCAGATTTTGGAAGCACGTGATTTACCCACGAGGTTCTTCGCTACAAGGTATGATTCTGATATTTTTTCCCACTGCAATATAATACTTTGATTTACACATATGAAGCAAGTCAACTACTAACTTTGAAGTTATTCATTTCGTCTCTGTTTTAGAGATATGGCCAACTGATTTTAGATCCATCATATAAGTGATATATTAATTTGTGCAGTGTTAATATAGTAAACAAGCTCTGAGATCTTAGTATGTATTTCCAGAAATATTGATTCACAATTACGGTTAGATTTTTGTCAAACTATCATCTTTTTTTTTTCACAATCTTGTGTCCTATATATTCAAATTGTCTTATGAAATCTTGTGTAAAAGTTTTGTTCAGTTCAAAAAAGAACCGAACAAATCAAATATATTCATGGGGTTAGGAAAGCGGATCTTTATACGTATAATTTCTTTTTCTAATCATGGTTTGTTTGGCGTATTGCTCAATTGATGTGAATTTATGATAGACTCACCTTATATCTCTAAAAGAAGGCCATTACAATTTACAGTGTTACTTCTGCCAATGCAAGGTTCTAGGCTTAGAAGCAGGAAATTCCTATGGGAGCCTTGCTCCCGCCCCCACCCTTGCTCCCAACCTTAAACTCTTCTATAGGGTCCTCGCTCACCCGTCCCGCTCCCGCTACCATTCCTTCAGGATTTCTAAAGATGGGTGACTCATGGAGAGAGAGAGAGAGGATAAAAAATTTGAAAGAACATGGATGGATCTATCAAAGAATATGGTTCAGTATCTATAAAAAATTTGAAAGACCATTGATATATCTCATAGAAATTCTACAATTCACCAAAGTGATTGTGGTAGCTCTATCCATAGCCTTCTTTTTTTTTTTCTTCCTTTTCTTTTTTTCTTTATATTTTCTTTTAAATTCAAGCAAGTCACTTGAAGGGCAGCCCAATGGACGAGGCTCCGCCGCTACAAGTCTGAGAAAGGGTCAGATGTACGCAACCTTACCCCCCTAGAGAAGGCTGTTTCTGTATTTCAAACCCATGATGTCCAAGTTACGCAATGTTAACCCCGCTCCCAGCATACAGAGAAGGTTGTTTCTGTATTTCAAACCCATGATGTCCAAGTTACAATAGAGCAACCTTACTACTGTTGGTCATAAAACCATAACACAAGCTCAACTGCAAACCATTGCAAACACTTTTTTCCAGCTCCAGCATTGAAAGTAAAGCAACATGGATGGAGGTATGATGAAGAGAATCAAAGCAAGTGGGCAAAAAATACTACATTAGTTTATTGTATTTGCCTTTTCATTTATTGGTTACACACTAGGATTTTGCACACATCCTTTGTAAGACAACTGTGCTAATTGTAGCAAAGCTTATTTTACTAAAATACCAGGACATAACAACCCAACAACATCACCAATTTATACCATAACATGGTTCAACTTAAATAAAATGCTAATTGTAATAAAGCTGTGGACACCAATCTCGTTATTTTCTTGCAGCCTCTCTCTACTGCCAATGGTTCCCGTGTAAGTCTCTCCTGTCTAGCATGGCCTAGATGACAGATTAAAATTGTCGGGCCTAGATGACAGATTGAAATTGCCGAGCCTAGTTGACAGACTGAAATTGCCGAGCCTAGTTGACAGACTGAAATTGCCCGGCATAGTTGTCAGACTGAAATACCTACTCTCAGGGTTAGTTGTGTAAGTATCCCTATTTGGAACTGTCGAGACTAGTGCAGGAGCAACACTAACCGGAGAAGTCTTGGCCTCTTCTTTCAGGATCTCCACTGCTTGACCAGTATCATTTGTTGGTCCATGACTAGGGTGCTTACTCATATTTCTGGCCAAAAATTTGTCTTTCCCCCCCCCCATCTTGGTTGATCATAGCGGGTTCTGTGAAGCTATCATCTCTATGATAATTATCATACTCACCATAGCCAGTACCGTTGCCTGAATAAGGCTGGTTGTGCCAATTTGTGGTGCCCAAGAAGCCCAGCCTCGTTGCTCCTCAGTTGGGTTCAACTTGAACGTTCGAAATGAATTCCTCAACCCTTTGTGGGCGATCGTGAATCGGACTGGAAGGCCTACGCCATTTGTCGTCGGTGCATCCATAATCCTTCACTGGCTCCAAAAGTAGGAAATGGTTGGCCTTTTCCTCTCTTCAACTTCGAAAATGGTCGGGCGGCTCGCAGGATCAAAATCTATGTTCTCTTTTGCTTCAACAAGTTGGTTATAACACTACAGGAAAAAAGGATTATGGTGGCGTTTTTTTAACGACATTTTTTTAAACGTCATTGTTATTAACATTTAACGGCGTTTTATAAACGCCACATATTATTGTAACCAAAACGGCACCGTTTTATAATAGGAGGCGTTCAAAAACGCCTCCGAATGCGGTATACTGCACGCGCCTTTTCAATCCTTATTTTGTATCTGGTCACTTCAAACATAGGTACCTGTTCGGGTCTTTTGTGTTGCCTATATATATATTTATTTTGCTGCAGTCCAGAGCATCCGGGTTAGGAAAAATTTAGGCTGAAATTTTGTTCCTTTGCTGTCCATTTTCTTTTAAGGGAATTATTCTTCATTTTAGTTTTAGGAATAAATATTCAGAGAGTTAGAACACAGGTTTGGTCCACTGAACAAATTGTTTGGAGTACTACTACAATTTGTGAAGATCATTGTATCCTGGGAGATAGACGCCACTCAACCGTAAGTATCGTAGCGGGGCGAATCTGTCTTAAGGACAGAGTGTCACACACTCGACTTAGTCTTAAATTATTTATTCGGTTCAACGAAATAAATTCGGTATGTTATTTATTTATTTTGTTTGAGTTATTTCAGTTTATTTTATTTACACAGAAGATTCTTCCAACAACTTCTGCCAATGCAAGGTTCTAGGCTTAGAAGCAAGAAATTCCTATGGGAGCCTTGCTCCCGCCCCCACCCTTGCTCCCAACCTTAAACTCTTCTATAGGGTCCTCGCTCACCCGTCCCGCTCCCGCTACCATTCCTTCAGGATTTCCAAAGATGGGTGACTCATGGAGAGAGAGAGAGAGAGAGAGAGAGAGAGAGGATAAAAAATTTGAAAGAACATTGATGGATCTATCAAAGAACATGGTTCAGTATCTATAAAAAATTTGAAAGACCATTGATATAGCTCATAGAAATTCTACAATTCACCAAAGTGATTGTGGTAGCTCTATCCATAGCCTTCTTTTTTTTTTTCTTCCTTTCTTTCTTTCTTTATATTTTCTTTTAAATTCAAGTAAGTCACTTGAAGGGCAGCCCAATGGACGAGGCTCCGCCGCTACAAGTCTGAGAAATGGTCAGATGTACGCAACCTTACCCCCCTAGAGAAGGTTGTTTCTGTATTTCAAACCCATGATGTCCAAGTTACGCAATGTTAACCCCGCTCCCAACATACAGAGAAGGTTGTTTCTGTATTTCAAACCCATGATGTCCAAGTTACAATAGAGCAACCTTACTACTGTTGGTCATAAAACCATAACACAAGCTCAACTGCAAACCATTGCGAACACTTTTTTCCAGCTCCAGCATTGAAAGTAAAGCAACATGGATGGAGGTATGATGAAGAGAATCAAAGCAAGTGGGCAAAAAATACTACATTAGTTTATTGTATTTGCCTTTTCATTTATTGGTTACACACTAGGATTTTGCACACATCCTTTGTAAGACAACTGTGCTAATTGTAGCAAAGCTTATTTTACTAAAATACCAGGACATAACAACCCAACAACATCACCAATTTATACCATAACATGGTTCAACTTAAATAAAATGCTAATTGTAATAAAGCTGTGGACACCAATCTCGTTATTTTCTTGCAGCCTCTCTCTACTGCCAATGGTTCCCGTGTAAGTCTCTCCTGTCTAGCATGGCCTAGATGACAGACTGAAATTGCCGGGCCTAGATGACAGATTGAAATTGCCGAGCCTAGATGACAGATTGAAATTGCCGGGCCTAGTTGACAGACTGAAATTGCCGAGCCTAGATGACAGATTGAAATTGCCGGGCCTAGATGACAGATTGAAATTGCCGAGCCTAGTTGACAGACTGAAATTGCCGAGCCTAGTTGACAGACTGAAATTGCCCGGCATAGTTGTCAGACTGAAATACCTACTCTCAGGGTTAGTCGTGTAAGTATCCCTATTCGGAACTGTCGAGACTAGTGCAGGAGCAACACTAACCGGAGAAGTCTTGGCCTCTTCTTTGAGGATCTCCACTGCTTGACCAATATCATTTGTTGGTCCATGACTAGGGTGCTTACTCATATTTCCGGCCAAACATCTGTCTTTCCCCCCATCTTGGTTGATCATAGCGGGTTCTGTAAAGCTATCATCTTTATGATAATTATCATACTCACCATAGCCAGTACCATTGCCTGAATAAGGTTGGTTGTGCCAATTTGTGGTGCCCAAGAAGCCCGGCCTCGTTGCTCCTCAGTTGGGTTCAACTTGAACGTTCGAAATGAATTCCTGTGGGCGATCGTGAATCGGACTGGAAGGCCTACGCCATTTGTCGTCGGTGTATCCATAATCCTTCACTGGCTCCAAAAGTAGGAAATGGTTGGCCTTTTCCTCTCTTCAGCTTCGAAAATGGTCGGGCGGCTCGCAGGATCAAAATCTATGTTCTCTTTTGCTTCAACAAGTTGGTTATAATGCTAGAGGATATGGTTTTTTTTGGAGAATGCACAATGAGATTCTGTTGGGGTCTACCATTGAAGTAAATGCTAAAAAGAATCAAATTCTGCTCACCCATGGATGTGACTTCCATTAGTTGTCCATATGTATTCAAAACAATTATTCGAACCACCACGCCAATTTTAGCCACAAGTTCGCCAAGCCATATCAGAAAAAGTGAGATCCAATGCCTCAACTTTTTACCTTCAGTTGAATTCGAGTTAAATATTCTTAAGCCTCTTCTCACCTTTTTAACAAAAGTGGGCATTTAAGTTTTTTCTTTAAAAATTTTAAAATGACTGATCGTGAATATTTTAAAATTACATTGATATGATGTTCTTGGATCACCGAATAATTACTCTCAAGTTTTGCATAACAGACAATGATCTGATCTGTCAACTGGTAACAGCTGGTGCTTAATTTGGTGATAGAATTCACTACAAGTCAACACCATATGATAATAAAGAAAGAGAATCACTAAGTTTAAAAAAAAGGGATGTGGAAATGGTGCTGCGCGGGCTGTGCAGTAGTGGCTATTGTGCTGCACAATAGACTCATTTTGGAGCCTATTTTGATAATCCGAACCGTTCATATTTTAGAATATATCAAGTAGAACATGCCTGCAAAAAATCAAATTAATCAGATATCGTTTACCAATTTATCCACTCATATTTGTATCTACAAAAATAAATAATAATTGTGATTTAAAGTATTAAAACGAATAGAGTGGATTAATAAGTAAACAATATGCGATTAACTTGATTTTTTGCTGGCTTGTTCTACTTGATATATTCTAAAATGTGAACAGTTCGGATTATCAAAATGGGCCCTGAAATGGGCCAATTTTACCACACAGTAGCCACTGCTGCGCAGTTCGCCCAACAGCATCCCCACTTCCGAGTACAAAGAAAAAACTATTCTGAATATTTCATTCTGTTTTAGCAGCTCAAACAAGAATCAATAGTGGGACATAGATTGGCAGAGGCTTTGAGTGAAAAAGCTCAATCTCCAACCAGTGATGATATACAAACAGAAAATTTATATAATTTTTTTTCATAGAACGATGTGGCTTATTGTGAAATTTTTATTTTAAAACAAAACAACAAAACTCCTAAGAAGATGTCGTTTATTTATTAAAAAAATAGAAGATATTGCCATATTATTTTTATTTATCAAAAAAAAAATTATGTATCAACTTGCTTGGTTCCATTTTTCCAAAAATACTTTTTAGAAAATTTTACTTTCTTATTTTTTGTGTTTTTTTTTTGTTTTTATTGATTTTTTTTTAATATTTTAAGCATTTTTTTTTTACTTTTTAGACACATCTAACATAAATACACCTAAAAAGAAAAAAATTTGTAATAAAAATTCACTAAAAACAAAAAAAATATATAAGAATTCAGTACATTTTTTGTAGTTTTATGTATTTACTAATTTTTTAAAATATTTTTTCACAAATTTTTGACTTTTTAAATACATCTAATTAAGGTGCATCTAAAAAAGTAAAAAAAAAATGTTTAAAATTTTAAAAATATTCACTAAAAACAAAAAAAAATACGAAAATCAAAATATTCAGTTTTCAAAAAATTTAATTCAAAAAATTCAAACCAAACACATTTAATTTTTGTATAAGTTCTTGAATTTCAAAGTGACACCATCATCAACTTGCATGGAATTTGATAAAAGTGAAGATTTTGTTAGATATCTTTTGATAAATAAAAAGATTTTTTTTTATTTATTTTTTTATTCTAGTAAAAAGGTTGTTTATAATTTTGGCCATGTTTGGCACCACTAAAAAAAAGGTGTTTATAATTTTTTAAATTTTATTTTAGGAAGTCTTAAAAATAACTTAGATAAATTCAAAAGAATTGATTTTTGAAAAACTGGTCTTTTAAGGGGGAGAATGTGAGAACCTGAATATAAAAATAAAATAAATAATTAAATAATAATTATTTTACAAACCTCAAATATTTTATTTGTGAATTTTAAGGTGCAAATTAAATATTACTGAACGATCTTTTAATTAATTTTAAACATAAAATAAATTTATAGTGAAAGTCTTTAATTTAGATGCAAGATTTATTATTTTAAAAAAAATATGGGGCAAGTTAGTAAGTATATTTTGATATAATA